CCAGGTGCTGGACACTGTTTTTCTGGGCTGCCTGCCTGCCCTCAGTGTCCCCTCCATCTTTCACGCTGCCCACAGGGCTCTGCAAGCTGCCCACTGTGGGGCTGGCACAGCCCTGGGGTGGCCCATGGCACAATGTCAGTGGCCAGCTTCTGCCCCTTGCACATTTTGGGGTGGTTGTCCTGGCTGTCTGCTTTCTGGTCTGAGTGCACCTGGGGCTCTGGGCCTTGCTCTCCAGGCTGCTCCTGCCCACCAAGTAGCTGCTTTGGGTTATTTTCTCTTTATTTTCCCTTTGTTTTCCCAGGCTGGGTTTTATTCTGTTTCCTGCCTACGTTTCTTGGATCCTTCATACAGTTTCTCTGCTCTGGCCAGTGTTTGCAACACCTCTCTGCTCAGTATAATCTACAAATATAATTACAATTCACTCTTCGAGTGAAGGTTTGGGATGGTGTGAAATGATACCCTGAAGCTCAGCTAAATTACGTCTCGCTTGCCTTATCCAAAAGCTTTCCCCAGTGATTCTTCTGAAATTACTCCCTCTGGGCAAGCCAGTGTCCTTCATCCAGGAGCCCATTGCAGTGGGTGTGCGGGCTCCTTCCTCTGGATGTTATGATCTGTGCTAGGGATCAGCACAGGGTTTCTCCTGTGCCCAGCTCTGGGTTTATTATCCTTTCCAGTGCCTCATTTGCGTGGCCTTTCACCAGGGCCCTGGTTTCTTACCGGCACCGGGTGTGTGTCAGTGGGTTAATCGGTTTGTCTGGGCACCAGCCGCACCAGCCAGGTGACCGTGTCTATGTGGAGATGCTGTTTTTGCTTTCCCTGCAGCTGTTTTTTGATGCCTTGGCCTCATTTGCATTTTTCTGGTTAAAAAAGGTAATTTTGCCCTTTTGAGTCATCTTATTTTTGAGCCATCATTAATTTTCTCTGTCTCCTCATTTATTAATAGACCTTTTCACTTTTGTGCTGATTCTGCCCAGGTATATTTGTGAAGTCTTATGTATTCCCCTTAGCCCTGTTAACGCCTGCTGCTTTATTGTCCCTTTTCCCCCCTGCAGCTGCGAGGGGACACTGTTGGCTTACAAATCCCACTCCTGTCTGAAACGTTCCCCTTCTCTTGTTCCAAGTATGTCCAAAGAGCATCACAAGTGAAAGGCACGATTGAAATCTCTCAAAGTGCCTTTGATGCCTTCACTGCCTCCTCCTCACGTAGCTAGTGTTTGCTCCAGCTGCTGGAGAGCATCTTTTTTCTGGCAGCAGGGGACAGTGACATCTAAAAGCCCGCGAGGCTGTGGGCAGGCATTGGACAGGACACGGCTCTCTGCTCCTTGAAGCATTTTACTTTGCCTTGTGACAGTGGCTCTGTGTTCTTGCCTTCACCTGCCTCTCCTAGCCAGGTATCCAGATCCTTCCTTGGCCCCATTGCCTGCTGCATGAACTGGGTGGGCTGGAGCTCTGCTGAGAGCAGGAGTGGTGCAGGGGTAGCCAAAACTTCAGGTAATCCTTACCTGGGCTGCGGGAGTCTGGTGCTGTGCAATCGGTGAGTGTGCTGTGGCACGTGCCTGGCATGGGATGAGCCCTGCCAGCGGTGTGTTCCCCAGTGGGGCTGTTTAGAATCTCCTTGTACCTGCCTTTTTATTAGTCTGCTGAAGAGCCCAATCTGTGGCAGGCTGTAATGAGTGACATTGTGGGTGTGCGAGCTGCGTGCTGAGGCCACGCGTGGTCCCCAAGGCTCCTGGTCCCCCGGTGTTGCTGTCCCCGTTCACCATCAAGGCTTTAAGGTTATCTGCTCTATTGACGGGAGTATGGATTGAGTGGAATTAGAAACCTCGAAGGCTAAAAATACAGCTCTCTGCCAGGAAATGCAGCAGCCTGCTGGGAGGGTGCTGGGTGTCACCAAAACTTTTCTGGGAACTGGCACGCTCTGTGTGAGCCCTGCATGTTTGCCTCTTCCTGGGCTACCCTCACAGGTGTGTGGCTGGCACCTCTGGTCACAGTGGGTGAAGGTGGTGGGAGCTGTAGCTTTACTATTGGAGCCCTACTGTATGTATCCTTATCTGCAGGCTGGTGGGCATTATCTGCCAAGCAGCTGGGGAGCAGCGCTCCCACCACCACTTTAACCATGGTACCCTGGCATATCTCATCCAGGGCTGACTTCCCTGCTTGGTGCTGCGATGCCGAGCTGTTTTGCTAGCTGGCTTCAAAAAGTGAGGCATCACCCAGAGCAGCACAGGCCATTTAGGGGATGCGTTGCCCATCCTGCCTGACTTTGTGGGATAAGCTTGGTCCCAGAGCCTGGAAGTGGCGGGGTTGCCCTGCCTAGTGTAGTGTGAATGAGACCTGAAGCCAGGGCCGTTGCTCTGCCTCCCAGAGCATGAAATCGGTTGGTGCCGACACGAAGCTGTGGCACCAATGAAGTGTGTAATAGGTTGGGGGCAGGAGTTGTGCTGCCCTTTGTGGGGAAGAAGACAGTGCTGCAGCATCTTTGCCAACCTGGGCTAGCCATCACCTTGCCATGCTTCTCCCTGGGCTGCGGGAAGTGGCTTTTCTCCACAGTGTGCAGCAGGCAGAGGGAGGGCTGTGTGGGGAGAGGATGCTCCCAGCACCAGCCGTCTGGATAATGCTGCGCCATCTGCTTTGGAGGGTGAGGCAAGGTGAACAGCAAGCTTTCGAGGAGCATATAAATCCTGCGTGCACAGGCTCTTCTTGGAGGTGACTTGGGATGTGCATGGGGTGGTGCTTCTTCTGGCCATTCCCCGTGATGGAGAACCTTGGGAAGCAGAGCTTGGGGGGAATCAGTGATCCCTTCCAAGGAGTTCAGTAATGTCCCATGGACCAAGACTGGGTTTGGCTGGCAGAAGTCCTTTAGCAGGACATGCTTTTGTGCAGTTGGAAGCTTTGCATGGTTGGAAATGGTGGTGCTGGGGCGGGCTCCTGGTGCCCCCTCCCCTCTGGTACCGAGGCTGCTGCTTGGTGAGAAAATGTATAATGCCTCTTTGTTGAAAAATGACTAATCCAGACCTTGGAGGGTTTGTAGGATATGTTCCTTTCTTGCGGTCGATAAAGATAAAGGGGATCGTTCTCCCAGCAAGATTAGTGTATCAAAGAGGGGGAGAAAATGACAAGAGCTGCGGAGACAGAAAAATGGTTGGGGCAGCCCCGGGATGGTGCCCAGTATCACCACAGCGCCCATGCCTACACCTCATGCCGCGGAGCTGGGCAGTGCGCAGGCACAGACGCTGCGGTGATGCTGGGGAGCACTGCCCTGCCCAGGCTTGCTGGTGGTTGCGCCAGAGCTGTGAGAAACCCCATCCATCACGCCGAGGCAACCGTCCATCCGTCTGTCCGTCAGGAGGGGGTGATGCCGTGTGGCACGGGCAGCCCCAGCCGCTTTCCAGCGGTTTCCAGGGATTTGCCTCCCCTCGCCTTCCCGGCACCGCCGCTGGCTGGCGAGGGAACCGCGGGGAACGTTCGCGCCTCGGCCGGGGGCTGTGTGGAGGGGAGGCTAATGTACCGGAGGTGCCTCGGAAATGAGAGCCTTGGATGGGTTCCTGGCCCTATTGATCCGCCGGCAGTTTATGTATCCTGACATTCATAATCTCGGTCGGCGCTGATGGTCCAGATTAATGGGCCCGGGGGCTGTCCATCCGTCACTTCACATTAATTACTGAAGAGGTGTTTTTTCAGTGATTTACCTGACAGCGGCCTGTGATGAATCCCCCTAAACGGAGTGGGCAGTGATTAATCACTGGGCCCGGGCCCGGCCCCACTCTGCCTTCCCCTCAACCACAGCGCAGCCCCCCACACCATCCGTCTCCATAAACCCTGCCTGATGCATATTTATAGGGGCAGAGGGGCCTGGCAGCTCACAGTGTGCCTCTTCTGCCAAAGATGATGAAAAACAAATCTCTGCTGGCACAGGGCAGCAGGTGAGCAGGGCTGTGGCATGTCGGGGTGGCAGCTGTGGTCCAGTGCCAGATTGTCTCTGAACTGGGGTTTGGTTTCTGGTGCTCTTCAGCTGGTGCCGCCTTCTCCAAGGTTTTTGATGCATGAATGGTGCATCAAGGGCTCTGTGTCCTGCTTCTGCTGTGGCTGCTGAATGTTCACCTGGGTCTGGGGGGGTCCCAGGCAGCAGCCACTGGAGCGGGGTGGGTGCCTCGGTGATGTTGGCTTCCTGCTGGTTTCCCTGCCTCCCTAGTACATCCCACCAAAGGCCACAGGGCTGCGGGGTGCTCCAGGCACCAGTCCCCATTTGCAGAGCCGCTACTTGTGGTGGCAGTGTGGGGGCTCCCCTTCCCATCACTGTGTGCTGGCTGCTGTGGGAGCAAGGGTGGGGGCCAGGCTGGGACCCTGACCCGCCATTCTGGGCAGGGGCTGCCTTCCCTGGGCACAGCTGCGGGGCCACTGGGACACAGGCAGGGCAGTGACACTGTCTCTCCTCAGCCGGCAGCGGTGCCGCCATGGAGGCGGAGGGCGGCCGGCTGCGCCGCCGGAAGCCCGACATGGCCCTCTATGTGCCCAAAGCACGGCGGGAGAGAGAAGCACAAGCGGCGGGGCACACGCTGGCCGGGCACTGCCGGGAGCCTGAAAACCACTGCCTGGTGCAGGACACTTGCCCAGATGGTGGCGAGGGGCAGAGGCGAAGCCCCCGTGCCAGGACACAGGCAGGCAGAGTGGAAAGGAGGGAGACCAAGGTGGATGCAAACCCAAAGGGGCCACGGACATCCTCTGCCAGACACTGCCGGAGGCCAGGAGGCAGCTGCCCCACCGTGCCGGGGAGCTTGGGAGCATCACCCAGCATGCAGGAGCCATGTCCAGATCCAGCTGTTGCCCAGCCCTGGGATGGGCAGGACAAAGCATCCCATGATCAAGGACTTGGGAAGCTCAGCCACAGCTGCCAGATGATGGGAACTGAGCCTGACCCTCCATCCCTGACCCTGAGTGCCCAGCCTGGGGCCATGGAGGCCCCAGAGCCCAGTGGTGATGCTACGAGCCTAGTGCCCCCCAGTAGCCCAACACTGGCATGTTGGACACGGCTGAGTGATGGGTTGGAGCATTTGGGGAGCAACACCCCAGATCCAGCTAGGGAGCTCTCCCAGAGCCCAGGAGAGGGTGTGCTGCTGCTGGCAGGAGTAGATGACCAGGGCAGGGTTCCTGGGTTGGTGTGGGAAGCTGCAAGTCCAAAAACCTGGGAAAAAAAGGGGGAGTGTGGGGGTTCCTACCTGGCAGGGCAGAGTGAGGGCTGTGCTGCTGAAGTGCCAGAGGAGGATGAGGAGAAGTCGGGAGGCATGGCTGAAATCGCCGGGGAGAGCACCTTGGATGCCCTAGGAGGAGCCAGCTGTGAGCCTGGGTGCTTGAGAGGTGGCATGGGTGATGCACCAGTGCTCCCAGGGGACAGTACCCCAGGGCTGGGCATGAGTCTGTCCCAGCTGCTACCCAGCAAGGAAGAGAGCACTGCCAGTGCTGGGCATCTCTGTGGGGAGGATTTCCTGGTGCCTGCTGTCTGGGTGGCGGGCAGTACCTCTGCCTGTACAGATGGCAGCACCGGGTATGAGAGCAGCTCACTGGGTAATGGTGAGGTGCCAGTGAGCAGCACCTGGGAGGGAGCATCCCTGGAGAGCCATAAGCCTTCGCTACCCCTGGAGCTGCTGTGCCGTGATGTAGAGGGGCTCTCGACAGATGCCTGGGCCAAGGAGCTGGTGGGGGTGGACGAGGACAGAGGCTCACTGCAGCAGCACCAGTGCAACCAGGAGGCTGAGGAGGAAGAGGGAAGTCTTCACAGTGGCTCCCAAAAGGAGGAGCAGACCAGTGCCGGGACCCTGAGCCAGACCAGCCCTGGCACCGAGGAGAGCTGGGACTCGTTGTTCAATGATGATGGGGACTGTCTGGACCCACGCCTGCTGGAGGAGGTATGTCCTGTGGGCTGGCACTCGCCAGGATTTTCAGGGAGAGTGGCTACTGACTGCTGGGCTGTGGGGGCAGGGATTGACAAGGACTGGCTGTCCCCTTGTCCTCTGGGGAGGGTGCATGGGGGGTGGTGCTGCAGCCGGGGTACATGGCCAGGTTTCCTTCCCATCTCGCAGTTCTGGGGAAGGCTGTGGGAGATCTTTCCTCTATAGTGCCTAAAGCACACCTGGTAAAACCTGCTCGAGTGCCGTAAACTGTGACTGTGCCCTCGTGAAACCGAGGTTGGTGATAAAGAAATGGGCTGAGACTTATGGGCTCCCATTGAAATAGCAATGGGAAGTTTCCTCGAAACTACGGCTTCTTAATCAGCTGTGGCTCATTACCATCCCCTCCTGCATCCGTGCGGCCAAATTCACTACAATTAGCAGCTTAATGCCGGGACCCACGCCGTTTTCCTGCTGTTCAGGAGGAAAACTTGGCTTCTGCAGCAAGGCTGGATATCCCTTATTGCATTTTAAATCAGTAGCGTCAAACTGGTAATTTTCCAAATGACATTAATGTGCCCAAAGTAACAAACAGCACCAATATTGTTACAGCCGGTGTCCATCCACCCCAGGCTGGAAGCAGGGTGTGAAGTGGTGGATGGTGCCTGATAACAGCTTCCATGAGGGGATGAAATAACTCGAAAGTATCCTTATCAAGGGGCACTGGTACCTACCTTGTCTGTGGGGCTGTGCCCAGGCTGGTGAGCCCTTGCTGGGCCTGGCATGGGGTTGGGGCAGGGTGTAGGGCACACAGGGCTTGCCTCCAGGGCTGCTCAGGGGAACATGGGAGGGGCATTGGGTACCCTCATCCCTGCCTGGCTGTGGTCTCCCCAGTCTCAGTGAGCTGTGGTCTCCTACCCGCCAGCCAGCAGACTGGTGAGCACCAGTGTGAGGGGGATGTTGCTGCTGCTCTGACAGCAGCTGGTGTGTGTGGCGCTGGCACTGGCTTTCTGTGGGCTGGCGTGGGGACACAGCTTCATCCTCAGGTGCAGTGGAGAAGCTACCTGACCCCACTGGGGCAGCAGGTCAGGGAGTGCCTGTGTTATGGTGCATCCATAGAATGCTGCGGGCAAGGTTGTGTCATGGAGTGCTGTGAACAGCTCTGGAACATCTGCATTTATCTCCCATATGCACAAGCTCCAAGAAAAGTTTGAGCTTTCCAGGGGGCTTCCCAAAATGGGTGAATAGGAACCGGAATAAGGAATTTATCAATTCAAAGTTGCCATCTTTACCCCCTGCAGATTCCTCTGCCAGTCCTGGTGCTTCTTGAGCCCTCTGAGCTCTCAGCAGGTGGATGTGGCTGCTTGGATAGGGCACAGGCTCTTGGGGAGATGGAGTTGCTGTTAATTAACAAAAAGGACAAGAAAATTAGTGGTGTTCTTCCTCATAACCAAATCCTTATGCACTGCAGATAGGTGGCAGGGAGCAAGATTTATGATGTTGTGTGGAGGCCTGATTCCTGATAGCAGACGGCTCTTTAATCTAGCAGGAAATAACACCATCGTGAGATCCATTGACTTGAAGCTGAAACCAGACAAATTCAGAGTAGAAATCAGTTTGAATGCAGAGGGTAATTAAGCTCTGCGTCCCTTTTCTTGCAGGCTTGGTAGACTCTCCACTAGCTGATGTGGTGTGCCAGGGACCACAGTATGTGCGCGCTGGGAGCTGTGGTGTGTGTGCTGGGGGCCTCAGTGCCAGCACACATGTCCCCTCCAGGTCTGGCAGTGTGCTCTCAGTGAGCAAGTGGGAGCATAAGCAAGCAGCCGTGGACCCCTCTAACATGCTCTGTCAAAGATGCATCTTTAGAGAGCAGTGAGGTGTGATGGACAGGCTTTATTTGCCGTGGTCTCAGTGTGTCATTGTGCATCAGTCAGCAGACCCTCCCCAGTGCTGGGGACCATACCCTGGCTCCCATTCCCTGCATTGCCCCAGGGCTGGGGGCTGAAGGCATCCTGCATGCCCGGGCTGGCAGGGCAGGGGGACCTGTTGAGCCATGCCTGCTGCGTGGCTGAGCCCGGCTGCCAGACGGCTTCTGTCCTTGCTACCCCGCCACACTTGGTGATTTGTGAAGGTCAGGGACCGCTTCGGCACTTGGTGCTCCTGCTCTCTAATCATCTTCCGGGTGTCTGGCACTACCCCAGTGCTCTGCTCCCTCAAGCGGCACCGCAGGGCTTCATCCTGCCCGAGGCTGCTCCTTCATGTCCCTGAGCATGCAGGGGGTGCTGGATGAGTGTGCAGCCCCACATGGGGTGCACTCGATTAGTGGGTGATGGTGGCAGGGCAGGCTGCTCTGCTGGCAGTGCTAGCCTGTCCCGTGAGCTCCATAACTCAGCTCTCCCCTCCACCGGCATCCAGCCGCCCTGGCAGCACCCCCTCACCTGCTGTGAATCCATCTTCCCCATAAAATTGTCGGAATGAGCACTTTTTATTGACTGAGCTGGCTGGGATTTATGGACTCTAACCTTCCAGCCGTGGTGTGTTCTGCTATGATCGCTTGGGGGATCAGGCTGGGAACCTGGCTGAGTTATGTAGCTGCTCCCCAGCACCATGCTGGCCCCACGCCTCAGGGGGGGACTGAGAGAGTACTGGCAGCTTTGGGCTGTGTCTGACCCCGTGTTGCAGCGGAGCGGGGCTGTGAATCCCCTCCGCAGCTGGCACAGAGTGGTTTGAAAAGCAGTGGTGCAGCAAGTGGTGCCCACTGGCACTGATGCTGTGGGGCAGAGGGGAGCAGGGGACAGCTGTGTCCCCCATGTTGTGGCTGTGGTTGAGTGACTGCTGCCTCTGCTTTAAAATGAAGGTTGAAAAATAGGACAGGTAGAAAAGTGCTACAGCCGTCATCTTTTAGACCTGGAGAAAGTGCCCCTCTGTGAGACACTAAACATGCACAACCTGTTTAGCTTATCAAGAAGAAGATTGAGAAGGGACTTGATTAGTGTAAATGCCAGCATGTGGAGGGTACTGGGGAGTGAGGGCTCTTTATTTCAGCAGAGAGGCAGAACAAGAACCACCGGCTGGAAAGCAAAGCCAGACAAATTCAAATGAGAAATAAGGCATAAATTTTTAGCCACGCAGGTGATTAACCACCAGAGCTTGCTCGTCAAGGGAGCATTGGCTTTTCCATCTCAGTATTCAGGGTGCCAATGGGCTGCTTTGGTGTGTGTGCTACAGCCAGAGCCCTGTGCCCCTGTGAACAGGCAGACATCAGCCTGTCCTCCTTGCCTTGCTGTCCTGCTCCCTGTTGCTCCCCAAATGTATTTTGGGTCAGTATGTTACTGTGGAAGGAGGGGTGGGCTCAGGGGTGCACAAGCTGTCTTACCAGTGCTATTCCCACTGTGTTCCCAGTAGGACCACAGAGTAAAGTGAAGGGATGCTGGTAATGGGAAAAGCAAGTGCGTGGCATGAGAGCCTCGGTCGATAACTCCTAATATCTCAATGCCATGAATCCATCTGCAGTGCTGGGGCAGGGAGTGGGGGCCGGATCACTTCCCAGGGAGCAGTTGCCATGGATCGGGAGCTGGTGTGGGTTGGGTGGGTGTGGGTTGCTCAGTGCTGTGCCTCTCCCACCCCTGCAGCTCTCAGGGGGCCAGAAGCTCCAGGAGAGTCAGCAGTCACCCCGTTTCAACTACTATGGGGCCGAGCCTGCCCCACCAGACCTCAGCGATGCCGAGCTGCCCCACGTCATTGAGATCTATGATTTCCCCTCGGATTTCCGCACTGAGGACCTGATGCGTGTCTTCTGCAGCTATCAGTGAGTCTGCCAGTGATGTCCCATCCCTGGTGCTGGGGTTCCCTGTCTGGCCTCTGCTCTGAACCCCTGCAAACCCGGTGCCGATACCTTGCTGAGCTTCCCTCTCTCCGCAGGAAAAAAGGCTTTGATATTAAGTGGGTGGATGATACGCATGCCCTGGGCATCTTCTCCAGCCCCATAGCAGGTACTTCTCCCAGTGAAGCTGGGGACATGGTGCGGAGAAGCATCCCTGCCTCTCCTGTGGCCAGATCCTGGTCATGGGACTGGCCTTGCATGCAGATGCCTCTGCTCTCTCCCTGCAGCATGTGATGCCCTCAGCACCAAGCACCTGATGGTGAAGACTCGCCCACTCTCCCAGGGCACCCGTGCCTCTAAAGCCAAAGCCAGGGCATATGCTGGTGAGTGATGCTGCCCCATGCTGACTTGTGCTGCAGCATCTTCATCCCGGTAACTGGGGACGGACAAGGAAGCCAGCACAGCTCCACAGCACTTAACCCAAGCAGAGCCATGCCAGCTTCCCTGTCCTTCCTGGATTCCCTCCTTATCCATCCTGACATGTCCCTACTGATATTCCCCATCTCTCTTCACCCAGACTACCTGCAGCCGGCCAAGGAGCGCCCCGAAACATCGGCTGCCTTGGCCAGGCGGCTGGTGATCGGCGCCCTGGGGGTGCGCAGCAACCAGACACCAGCCCAGAGAGATGCCGAGCGGAGGAAGCTGCAAGAAGCCCGGGGTGAGGTTTGGTTGCCTGGAGGGGCTGCAATGTGTGTGGGCTCTGGCCACCTTTGCAGGGAAGTGGGTGGCTGTGGGATAATGGGGACCTGGAGTTGACCCTCCTCTTGTCCCTGCAGAGAGGAAGCGCCTGGAGAACAAGCAGCGGGAGGATGCCTGGGAGGGTCGCGAGTGAGCTGGGAGACTGCACTTCACCCCTGCTGGGGTTGCCCGGGCCCCTCTCTGCCAACAAGCACCCTGCGTCTTGGATCAGACACAGATGCTGTGGTGCATCTCAAAGTACTGGGTTGCTCCACTGAAGGGGCTGAGCAGGGTGCAGTGAGGCTGGTGAGTGCCATGCAAATGCTGTTGCCACGGGGCATTGCTGCCCGTGCTGGCCAGGGCAGGAGCCCCTGTGCTTCCTGCTGCAGTGGGAGCAGCTGGTGGGATGCAGGGAGCTCAGCAGCGAGCACACGGGGCTGGGTGGTGCGGCCCTGGCCACCTGGCAGGGCCTTGTGAGTGAGAGTTTCTGTCCTTTATTTTGCTAATAAATACCATTTATTTTATTTGCCTAGCGGGGCTGTGGTTCTCCATCCCATTGCATGTCAGGGGGAGGGTGTGCATGCCAGGGGCTGCTGCGCATGGTCCCTGCTGCTGTGGAGATGTCTGCCCCTCCCAGGTGGTGGGTGTCCCCGATGGGTGGGTAGGGGCCACAGGCAGGAGGTGTCAGGCAGGGCTGCGGGCAGGAATGTGCTGGCAAGGATCCTGTTTACTTCCGTAGAGCAGCTGCAGCCCTGAACAGCGGGGCCCTTGTTGGTGGATGGGCAGGGCTGCCTTCTCAGCCCCGTGCAGGGCTGTGATGTGGCTGCACTGCCGGCCTGGCTGGGCTGGGGGCTTCCTGCCCTGCCCTGGGGCTGGGGCATGGGTGGGTGGCTGGGACCTTCCTTTGTTTTCTCTCAGCACTCGAAAAACAGCTCTCTATGCCCCAGCAGTCCTGCTCTGTAGCCCCCCAGACTCTTGGGGCCACAGTTCATGGGGCTCCTGTGGCCTTTGCAGCAAGTGGGGACGGGGATGGGGCTTTTCCACCACC